GCAGATGACACATTTTCACCTGTGTTTTCATGACAGTCCTGTGCTTGAGCAACTCTTTCAGAAATGTGGTGACGTGTAGGAACTCCACTGTTCTGGACACAGTGATGCACTAGCTAGAAGTCCTTTCATGTATAGCTATTGTGTGGAACTTTGAAAGTTATTTTGTCTTTTATTTGACTGGGTTTGGGGTTTTTTTTAATACGGAGAATAATTATTCCTCATAAAATCTCTGGAACCAACCAGTATTGTGGGCTATTTTAATTTGGAGACAGTTTCATAATAAACATAAATATTAGAAATGTAGATTTTGTTTCTTATTTTTTCTATGAGATGCAGACAATGTTTTCCTTTGTTTTAGCTGGAAGATTGTTACCCACGCTGTAGACTCCAACACTCTTTCGACAGATCCAAGTATGTCTTTGCTGTGTTCATCACTGCAGTACTTTATGTTATTTCTTGTATGAAACTGTTTGTAACAGGAAGTGTTGGAAGATCAAGTTCTCTTGGTACAAACTTAAATTATTTTCATTACCAAAAAAAAAGATATTTTTCTGGGATTTAAACATCAAAATTTTGCATGGTAATAACTCCTGAATGTCCAGCTGGGCCCACTTTGGAAAAGCTGTGTTTTTTCAGTCTAGGTGAGCAGAGTTTCTTTAGAAATACACATTCAGATGTTTTCTTTTAGGGGAAACTGTCACTCAGCAAAGCACCACCTACTAGCCTCTTGTGGAAGTGAGAGAAAAGAGTCACTCTTAGGAGTGGCTCTCCTAAGGAAAAGCTGCAACTCACCAAAGTAAAACCTACAAAACACCATTATCAGGCAGGCTCTGGTGCAGCATTAAAAGATGATGAGGAAGTACTTAGAAATGGGATGCCTGAAAAAATTCTGGTAACTTCAGCAGGAAATATAGGCAACAGTTCTCATAACACAAGTATCAGTCATATAGGGATCTTCACACATCAGTTGAAGTTTTGCCACTGGAAGAGAAGTAAATCTTTTTGCAAATGGGAACTGCATTGTGTTAAAGAACTGGAGATCTTTAGCAATTGTAGTTGTTAGTATGGCTCTGCGATAATATATAGTGACTCTTGTGTTACATTTAATATAGCATTTTAGTTCATGTTTATTGAAGATATTTATGAAGAGATTTACTTAAGTGGAATATTGTCCAGTGGTATATCTAATGTCTTTTTCTCCCTATGCCACATATGCACCTCAACTTCTGTAGCACAAGGGAGAGCCAATGTGTGCAGAAGGCAGCTCAGGATAACGTGATACAGAGCAAGATCTTTATGTGCTGACTCTAAGTCTGTAAAGGACCCTTTGTGCAGGAAACCGTGGCTCTCCGAGGGCAGCAGGAGGTCTGCTGCTTCAGGAGAGTCAGAAGGCAGTGACACAATTTCCTGTAGATTTAGAAGGTGAGTGAAGGGAATCCAAATGTGTAGTTATACCAGACCAACAAATTTCTGCATGACTCAGTAGCTGATCATGCTGTAATGGACAGAGGCTGAGAGTTTATGTGGAGGGAAGTTAGTCCCAGCTCTGCTAGTGTGGGTGGAGGGTTCTTGTTTCCCTAAGTTGTGCTGGGCTTTTTGGCCTTTTTGGTGATTCATTCTGCTGCAGCTAGTCCTGCCCCTGGAGAGGTTTTACACAGTCTAGTCAGCCAGTAACCTTCTTAAGTGGCTTAACTGGGTTTCACAGAACAGGATGCCAGTTTGGGTTTTATGCCCAGCTTCTCCAGCCCCGAATCTGCCAAGCCAATGATGATTCTTGTAGAGAGATTTCTTAAGTGCAGAGTTGTGTGCAGCACTGATATGTTCCTGAGGTTCTGACTTTCAAAGGTAACTGTTTACATCTGACACAGAACTGTTAGCTTTTAGTCACTGGAAACTGCAATATAAAAGTATTAGAAGTTGATTATTGTGGGTTTTTTAAGAGCAACATGACCTACTTGTAATGTTACTGCTATAGTTCACTGATCAGATGAGAAGGTAATGTACTCTTCTAAACTACTGGCTGGCAACATATATTTACATTCCTAAATTAATGCTCTTTCATAGACATCTGAAAAACACCATAGTGGGTGGAGTTTTTTATACTTTTTATACACTTCAAAGTCTAAGGTATTCTCCCTAGAAAATTCTGCACAGGTTATTTCTCAATTTTCCAGAACAACCAAGCAAAGTCCCTGCACAACTGCCATATTTCATGCATATTTACAACAACTTTTCACAATCTCCCCTCACAAAAAATTGAAAGATGAAATGTGATCCTTCCTTAATTAAACTTGCATCAGCTTTCTCACATTAATCTAATTAGCAATTTTATGTCCTATTTCTGAGCCTATTATGAAGATAACCTCACCTTTTAATTTGCAGTAATGGTAATTATAATTACTGTTGGTATCCTAAGGTATCTTTGAAAGAGCTGCTTCCCACCAGAAAGCCTTGCTGTTTCATAGTTACTTTTGTTTAGTCCCTCATTTAGGCGTAATTTAAACTTAATTCATCTAAAGCATGTAGGTGTTCCTGGTTCTCATTTTTATACATGGTTTCTCACAGAACTGTCTCCCAAGTGAGATGACTGCCCATAGCTGTTACTTTATGGGATAATCTAATCATATTTCAGTTCCAGAAAAGGATTTGCATGTAAATAGTCTAGCTCACTTACAGGTCTAACATTTGGTCTTTCAGCAATGTTGAGGAAGTCATGACCCAAGTTGTGGCACCCCCTGGACTGGGTGGATGTAAATAACAACCAGGACTGCTGTCCAGACTAGAAGCAGCTGCCTTTTCACATGATTTTTTAAAATAACTGTTCCACTTTAATACCAATTTCCTACTACCTGAATCTCATTTTTTCTAAGGCTTTTTGTTAAGGAGCGTGTGAACCTTTGAGATTATGTATAGTTAAGCTGTGATGGTCTGCACTACTCTTGCAACTTGTCCAAGCATCCAGCACAAACACAGCAGCTGTTTTGCATAGAAGAACTCCTCTATAAAATTTAACAGGTAACTATTATAGACTGCTAACTGTATTATCTGGGAGAAGAAGAATGGGTTGCTAACAGCAAAGGGAAACAGCAGGAGCAGTTGGGAATAGTAAGCCATCTTTCTCGGTAAACTGCATTCACATTGACTGGATTTCATATTTTGATTCAATGGGATGCCATTAGCACATTTAGTAAAGGTGATCCCTAGTGTATTACTATTATTAGTGTATTATTAGTCCCAGGCAGACTGTCAAAATTGTGGACTAACCTTAGAGAAGGCTGGAGCCTAAAATGACAGGTAATTGCTGCAGAGTTGCAGTTGACAGCATTGAGAATTGCATGCCAGAAGAGAATTTTCCTCTTTCCTTTAGAAACATGAATTTATCAGATGGCTTATCTAACTTTACAATAAGTGTAGGAAAATACAGGCCAGTAAGTCATGCTGATACAATACTAAAAAAAATAAAATTGCCAATTTGCTGTATTGTCTTTCCATTATGAGATTGTGCCATACATGGAGTTAAACAAGCAAAATTCTCTCTAGCTTTACATGAGAAGATAAGTATTAGTTGTTTGCCTGTGAGGTAAGCATTTACATTAATGTATTGTGCTGTAACTTAAATAGTAAACCACCCACGAGGTCATCTATCACTTCAACCTATTCCTCACTTAGCCAAAAGGTTAATGTATGCACTCTTCTCTTAAATGCCTGGATTCCTTTATGGTAATTGCAATTGCCATCACTATGAAGTGTAGCATGCTTCTATAATCAAAATAGCTGGTGTTCTAACAAAGCCGGTGTTCTAACAGACCTGTTTCTCTCCGCAACCAGTTATTCCAGCTGAAGCTGTGGTGTAGAAGATAATGGATAATGAAGAATTGAGCCCATGATCCAGTAGCTAGTGCAAGTCAGTCAAAGAGCATGTTTCCATGTAGAGAGTTATCCATCAGTCACAAAACAGGTGAGTCAGTAGCAATTTGCATTGTTCAACATACTTTGACTGAAGAGGAAGAAAATCACACTGAAGCTAATTGTATCTCATTTCAATTAATCATTTCAGTTCTTAACTACTTATATATATCTATAAAAATGTCATATGAAAACCACCACACGCTTGCATGATTGAACATTATTTTTAGCTTCTGTCAGTCTGCCCAACAACTTTTGAATGTGTTGCTCAATTAGTCCAAATTTGAAAAGAAGATTGTGTGGCAGTTATCCCCTGTCCTTATAATGTACTTAAAGTCAGCAGTCAGGTAGAGGAGAAGCACAGATCAGTGCACTGGACGAAGAGTAGGCAGGATGCAACTGGTGTCCTGCAGCTTTAGCAGCAGCAAAGCAGGAGCCAAACTGGCATAACTCAGGAGTGCTTCTATAGCTCTGATCCTTAGACTGTAAAGAAGAGCTGAATATCACAGTGAAGAGAATGGCACTGTTCAAGGACAAACCCACAGATCTGTAAGAAATCAGGCTTTATTGCCTCTGCTTCTACTGCAACAACTTACTTATAAGCTCAAGACTCCAAAGGGTTCTCTGTGCGTAGAGCTGTCAGAGTAATTTGGGATAATATGGATAAAAAGAATGGAGTGTCACTGTCTGACAGTCAGAGCCATTCCTCCCAGCCCTTCGGGCATACAATGCCGTTTTAGCAGTAATGCCTCATATAACTGAATTGGAACTATTGCTTTCAAAAAGGTAAGACTAATACCACAATCATTTAGTATTGCTTATTCACACAGTTAAAATACATACTCTTACTCTGCCTGTGGGACTGATTTATGCGTGCATATCTTTGTTAAATCAAGTTCCACAAGCCTTTTAAAAAGCTATAAATCACAAGTGAGTTCACAGCAATGTTACAGTATTATAATGACAAAACTCATTTAGACAATTTCAAGGTACTGAATAAATCCAGTTTATTGACACATTAGAGGACAGTATGGCACAAGCACAGCATACTTCCATGTCTTTTTTTATTTTCACAAATGTAGCCAATACTTGTTTGTTTTTCAAAATACACCTAACAACATCCAAGAGTAACCACCTCCACTCTTGTTTGAATAGGTGCGTAAAAAAACTGTTCTGTTAGCCAGGAGTCTCACGGTAATTTGATTTGTTTTCAAATCTGACCTCCAGCTAGCATACAAAGAATAGTGATTAAATACATTTAATACATATGATATTAACATTTAATGTTACTTTATCTTCCCAGCAGTCTTTAAATTCATTGTGTATTTCCAGTATCTCATAAATTCAACACTTTTCCCCCAGATTTTTACAACATGAGATAAATTTGATGAGGTGCTGAGCACCAATACATCAGCAGTTTACTGTATGGTCAGCATTAGTCTATAGCCCATGCATTTCAGACTTGACCCTTGGTAGCTTAAGTATGGGTCAGCACTTTGAAAGGGAAAGCAATGTTCAGCATTGTGCAAATTGATTCATTCAAAAAGCCTTTACTGACCTTCATTAAAATCTATGTCTGCCTTAAGATCCTGCTAATAAATGGAGTGCCAGCATTAGCTGATTGTGTGTCACAGCCCTAAGCTGCATATTGCTTTTGAGCTCAAGAGCTTTCCCATCTGCTCTTTGGGACATTTCAGTCTGTATCTGTGTACTACCCAGCACATCAGCTTCTCAATAGCTGTACCTGTTGGGTCAGTCTATTGTGTTATCCTAGTTGTCTTTACTATTATTCGATCTCACTGTATTGTGAAGCTTCATAACAAATAGAAAATAGAAATAGAAAATTCCAAATCATCACAGATCCAGGTGTGTGGCATTCTATAAGTACTAACTGCTCATTTGAAACAAAGGTTTTAAAATGTCAAGACACATCTTCCACTAGAATGAGGCTGTTTCATAGAAGTCACAGGCCAGTTTTACTCATATTTTAGAATAAGTAAAGAAGCACATCTATTGTGTACGCTTTCCTAGCTTTAACCCACTTTTGGAATACCTGCCTCTCTTTTAGTGGAAGTAAGATCTCTGTCTGATTTGCTCTGGCAAATATAAGTAGGCACATTATTCTAGCTCCAAAAGGAGTTGTAAAGGTTTTTATTACACACAGTAAATATTCCAAACTTCTTGCTTTAGACATATGCACAGGACATTTATAACCAGACACATCATATTCTCTAGCAAATAATTTCTAAGAATGTATATTTCAATAAAGTAGTTGTCACATATTTTATGTTCTGTGCATAGCAATCTTGACAAATTCATTCTGTCACCATCTACTTATGCCTGGGACTAACAAGAAAAGAAAATGGCTCTAAGTTTGAACATCTGTCTTCATTACTCCAGGCATTTCAGTTTCTTTCTCCTGTGAACATGATCAAATCACATATGTTACAGAGGGTGTCTGAGCAATACGTACACCCTTAATGATTAAACGGCTCCATTTGAAATCGTGGAAATGAGGAGGTTGTGTTCTGCCTTTGTGCTTTCATACTACAGCTGTAAACTATTTGGTTGAGCATGCTGAAGTTTCCTTTCAGAGCAGCTCAGAGGTGCTTAGCACAGACAGGTGAAGTAGGGCAAGGCTATGTTTCAAAATGAACAGTCATCCTGGATGTGAGCAATGTCATTAGGGAGAAGCTGGAAGGGACAGGCTTTGACCTGTGGAAGGGCTTCTGTACAAGGAAGAGATGCCAACAGCAGCCATAATGCCTCGGAGAGATGACACAAGTGGGAAGTGCACTGCTGGCTCAATACATTTTTTGAGCTCTGGCTAGTCTGCTGACATCCATAAAAATGCCTACAGCATTCTCTTAATGGTAGAAGCAATTTGTTGAAAGAAATACCTGCAACTTAAATCCTGTTAATTTGGCTGAAAAGGAAGCGAATCCACTAATGAACAATGAGACCCCTGAAGTCAGGCTCCCATCCCTCGCCTCTTTGTACCATTGCCAGTTACAGAATTCTCAGAGAGGACACAGGGTTTGTCCTGACAGAGGACACCAAGCAGAAACTGAGGATTTGTTTTATTTGAGATGTCATTACAGTAATGCTTAGTAATTCTCTGCTGCTATACTGCTATACTCTATTGGCACCTTTACCTTTCTTACTGTTCTTTGTGTGCAAAGTTTGTTTCCTTGGTGTGCCCTATTGATTTTTTTTTCCTTGTAACACAAGAAAAAAAAATCAATAGGGCACACCAAGGAAAATGAGGCACTACTTAGCAAAGTATGCCCTATAGGGAAGAAGAAATGGAAGATTATCTCTTTGACTTTTTTTAAGTTTTGCTCCTAGAAGATGAGGGTGCAGCCTATGGTGTATCCATCAAGCTATATGGTTAAGTTCAGACAAACTAAATTATTTAAAATACAGTTCACATGTGACTGGGAAATATTCCCAACTGTACTAAGAATATCTGATCAGATCAGCTAAGACCTGATCACCAGATTTAAACATGCCTAAATGACTAGGTCATAATATTAGTTTTTGATTCACTACAATTTCTAGGACTGAGCTTAGTCAACACTTTATAGGAACTGTGGTATATTATCAAATGAAACATTTTCTTTCTTGTTGCAACAGTCCTTTTAATTATTCTGTAAAAACAAAAACACTTTACAAGATAGAAAAAGAATATTTTCAATCAAAGCTGAGCATTGTGGTAGTAATAATCTTCTTGATAAGTTGCAAGATACATACATTACTTATCTGTCACCATTATATTTCATACTTTAATACATTATACTTCAGGCTTTGCCACATCAAAAGATGACCAATGACAAAGTTTAACAGTCCAGAAGAAAAGCATGAATAGAAATGCTAACACTGTAGAGTACAAGTTAGGGTAAAAATCAAGACAATGACTTATGACACAAGTAACTGAAGTAAGTGCCAAGCTTCAGCACACTTTTTTTTTAATAGGTTTCAGGTCTATTTCAACTACACAGAAACTTGAAAGAGACATCAATGCTTTTGGAAAAGATACACAAACAACAGAAGGTACTTCATTTTGATTATCTCCCCGGGGGCAGCTAAATACAAACCATTACATCATTAATGCATTAATTGCATCAAAGCTTACATGTCCAGAGACATTCAGTTAAGGCCGCAGTTAGAGATACTATTGTTGAACGAATGATCCAAAATGTGTCCAGATAACAGTAGACTAAAATACTGCTTTCATTATCTTTATTTAGAAATTAGGAGTCAGACATGGATAAATCCACCATTTTAGCAACAGGAAGGGAGTAAGAGTGCTCTACAGCCAGAAAGAGAGGTACAAACCAGTTTCATGCAGACTGTTTATATGATAAAGCAGTGAAAGCTTTTCTGATGTTGGCAACAAATGCAGAAAAATTGTTAGTTTCTCTCAGTTTAAGCTGTAACTCTGCGATACAGTCCAGAGGAGGAGTACAGGAAGTCACTAAAATGACACAAATTTGCAAAAGATTAGACTATTATTAAAAGAATAAATCAATACCAGTGTTTTCCTGCACCTATGAAATACTAATGTAGTTTGTTATCTTTTTATGTTTTCGCTTCCACCTGCATTATTTTTGAAAAACCTCATTTTCTTTCAGCAAAGAGAAAGCCTCAAAGAACATAAGGGCTTTTTGCTTTACTGACCTCCCACTCAGTGCTGTGCTCCTGCCTGAGTTGATACAGTAATTTTCAGCAATCCATAGCCTGCTCAAAAACTGAAACACATTCCTAAACCGTTTTGTTGCTCTGCAGGCAAGCAGATTGTAAACTGAGGTAGCCCAGCATGTGAAATACTTTTAACTTCAACTGCACTTTACTCCTCTCCATTTTTCAAAAAAGAGGTGTCAGATTCAGTCCTCTTACTTAAGTATTCAAAATGCACATACCTTCATAGTCCCCTTGTTCATTTATGGAAACAGTACACATGTATGGCTTATCAGGATCTTTGTGGTCAATGTGTCTGAATATGAACTGTAATTGCTCATCTAAAATAAACACAAACAGAATTAACACCATTAACCTCTGCTGCAGAGTCACAATGATGACTAAAAATCACAATACAAAGTTAGTTTCAATTAATATTCTTAGAACACGGACAGATTAAGCAACCCTGGCCTCTTTGCAAGACAAATGCATTTTAGCATATTTTGCCATTTGAGGGACAAATGTTGTAGCTGGGCTAAGCCAACTGATCAAGTGTGTAAGCTATGTGCTCTTCACTGCACAATGCAACACGAAGCACATTGCATCAGTGCACACAAACTATGGAAACGACAGAAACCTACCTGGAATTCTACGCATCTCCAGTGCAAGATGCTCTTTAAACAATGTTTTAATCTTGCTCACTTGTTCCACTTTCTCCTTGGCAGCTTTATTTTTAGAAGATTTTACTAGAATTTAAAAGTCCATCGTAAGTATCAAAGGCAAAACAAGCACATAAAAAACCATCTAGAACAGCAGAAAAACCACAAAGAGCAAGTGTTAAAAACAACCCCTCCTTCAATTAAGAAAATTTACTTATCCTTTTCTTACTTACTTTCCATTTTCTTCATCAACTCTTCTTTAAGCTCTTGGATGCTGTCAGTCAAGTTCTTCTGCTGCTCTTCTTCTTGATTTAGCTTTGATTTTATTTCTGTCAACTGCTCTTCCTTTTCTGCTACGTATTTGCTCTGCTGGAGAATCTCTGAAAGGAGGCAAGAAAATATGAACATATACAGTTCATTAAATATGTCCCTGCTATATAAAACTTAAGTAGTTTGAAATTATTTATATTAATAAAACACAGTGGAATGCATGCTACCATAGCTTCAGAGAGAAGTCAGCTTAATTATACCAAGAGCATCAAAGGAAAACAAAGTGAAAGTTATTCTTGAGAGAAGCTATAAAGAACCTAATGTATCAGAAGCTCTGATATATTAAAGTACCAGGGCAGCTATGGAGCTGCTCTGACACTTTAATGAGATTAAATTTGTTTCTGGTGCCAGCACTATATACATCTTCAAAGCATGAAGACGATGGCTCCTGCACACAGATAATGACAGAAAGCCAAGAATGGAAACACTGACTGATATGAGAGTTGCAATCATTTTTACCTGGTATTCTGAAGTTTACAAAATTCAGCCAAGTTAATCCTAGACTGATGAGCTGACAGTATTCTCTTACTAATATGGAAAAGACATAACTTCACAATACTTAGCTTTACTAAGCAATTTAATTTATTTTCCCATTGCAATCAGAAAATTCTGATACTCCATTGTTTTAAATACTTATGTTCTATAGAGAAAACTTATATTTTTGCATCATCAAGGAAGTTTTTCAACAAATCGCTTTTGACTTGGAATTTACATTGTAGATTTATATTGTAACCAACACATTATGTTTGGGTTTAATTCTGTCTTCATTCTGATGTTATCACCTTTTTAAATGTGAAGTTAAACATACTATTCAGCTGTATTAAGTTAATTTTATAAAGGTTGGACAAAATAAATAACTGTACCATTGTTATACTCGTGAATTTTGTCAATCATCAGATCCTCTTCTTTCAGCTTCTTGGACCATTGCTCTGTAAGGGAAAGTTACTTCAGTTATCTGAAGCAATTCGCGAAAAGCAGAGTTAACAGGAGCACAGAACCTTTGTACCTGAAAGAGCTTCTAAAGTCTCCTTGCACAAATCTCTCAGCGCTGACGTCTGATTGTTCTGTTCAGTGCCATAACTGATTTTAAACTGGATCCAAAACTCTTTCATAGCTCTTTCAAAGAGCGTTACTTCATCTTCCGCCGGTGCATTACCCATAGCGCCGTACCGAACCTGGCGGGAACAGCGGCGGCGTCGGGCCACGGGAGCCAATGGCAGCAGGGGGAGCTCACAGCGCAAACGCTCGGGGCCGCTTTTACCGCCCCGCCTTCTTCTTCAAACCTCCTCGCGCCAGTCGTCACCACCGGCTCGGTGGGAGCCGCGTTTCCCTCGCAGCTCTCCCCGCGCTCGGCTCCCGCGCCAGCGCAGTTCCCCCGCCGCCCCTCACGGCCCGCTGCCCGGGAGCCGCCCCGCGCCGGCCCGGCCCGCACCCACCG